CAAATCTGGATGTGCGATTTCAGACACTGATTGAATACTGAATTGCGATTTACCAGGGACCGACAGAATTGAATTCTGACGGACAGAATCAAAGTTATGACTGACCCTAGTCTAGCCTAGCTTTAGCTACGTCAACGCAAAATTCAAATTTGCATTATCACTGAAGATAGGACCCTGAATTCACCAATTCATTACACAGTGTCGATCGCAATACTGTAAAGCAGTCACAGATGAAATATGAGTGAGAAAGAAGGTCAAATAGGGTTAGTAGAAGTCAAAGAAGGTAGGTAGGGGAAGTTGGATATGGTTGTTCCATAGTCTGAATTTCGATTTTCAACTGTACACTGACAGATAGACCAAATTTCACTATTCAAAAAATAGTCCCAGAATCGCCGCACAGGCTGGAGTAAGGAACACACTTACTTCAGGGTCAATTCTGAAGAAGATGCATGAAACCTTGGCTATGGCTGACTGGTCAACCCCATCTCGCCAATTTCATCTCCTGACAGTATCCAGTGTTCCCACATACCAAATTGCCTGAAACTTAGTGATTCAGCAGATTACCTTGAGGCGCTTCACCCCCAACTGACAGATTCAAGGAATTCGGACTCCCAGGTGTCAATAACTTACAAAGTCAGTGCAGCGCCACATCTTTCTGTACTGTGCTGCCTGGAAATTGGGGATCCTGACCCAATTCCACAATTGCAACCTCCTGGGATCACTTCCCTGCCAATCGCCAGCCTCGAGATGAATTGCCAGGCTAAAAATAACTTCCCAGAGCCTCTCAGGCCTCTGAGCACCAATCGCCAACCACTCCTGCACAACCCTAGTCAGGATTGAGCCCCCTCTGTCCAATTCTTCTTCCCAAACACTCACAACCACCACCCTTACTGACAACAACCCTGAAGATGATGAATAGCCATGTGACTCAACTCCAGTATCTCGCCAGATGATGATGGGTGCTCCAACTCATCAATCGCTCCAGAACCTGGATCCAATAGCTCCGATACCAACTGTTATGATTCTGGTTGTTTGTTGTTTGATGACCAACACTCACTCACATAGACTTCCAAGTATGCCCATACATACACAGAAGGAAGGGGAGAGGATAGGAGTATCACACCGCACAGGGAGAGAGAACACGGCGAAAGACTTGACCATGCGATATGACACGGTACATGGAAAGTGCAATTCACTCCACTCAATCCTCACAACCAGTCATAAAGAAAAGCCAAGCAGATCACATCCAGGAAACAATGAAACGACGATAGTCAAAACCCAGTTACACACTGTTTATTAAACTCAGAGTCTCGAATTGTCAGGATAACTTCAGAACTACAGTGCGCTGCTCAGAAGTGAGCAGCGCTTCACTCCCCAACCCTGATTAGCACYCGTAGCACCCCTGAGCCCCTGAAACATCAAGCGGCACCCAGATACAGCCTCCTGAGGGGAGCGCCACCCTGAACCAGGCCTCTGAGGCCAAGCGCCACTCAGAGGATGAAGAAGAAGACCAGCGCCACAGTATCTGATGATGACGAAGTGTCGGAAGACTTCCCGGTGGAAGTCTGCAGCAGCGCCACCAAACCCTGACAAGATGACCTCTGAGGAAGAAGCTGCAGCTATGGCTGCAGCACCACACCCTGGAACCCCACTCCAGGGGAGGGTCTAGCAGGGCACCAATCTCTCTCACCTCCAGCAGACCTCGATAGCCAAGACCTCTGACAACCCCTACGTGCTGGCAGAGTACAGCGCAGGTCCCAGCTATGGCCGGCGCTCCAAAGGTGTGGCTATGCCTGTCTCCTTCCACGYTGAGCCGTCACCACCCCCGGTTCACGCGTAGCGCAGCAGCGATGTACTCGGTACCAACTGCCAAAAGCCCTGAACCAATGTGCCCATCCTATCTATAGACTACACTAGCCTAGACTCGACCTAGACCGGACTGACTGACCGACCGGTACCGTTTYTGTTYCGGCCTCTCGGCCTCTACCGGACCCGGCTATTGGCTATAGGACCGTCTATCAGAATAGGCCCTTAGGGCCTGTCTGTCCTAGGGGTAGCCCGGGCCTGCTATTCGCAGTCAGGGTAGCTGTAGGGAATTCTGTTAGTANCGTCTATCAGAATAGGCCCTTAGGGCCTGTCTGTCCTAGGGGTAGCCCGGGCCTGCTATTCGCAGTCAGGGTAGCTGTAGGGAATTCTGTTAGTAACTTAGTACCGGCCCTGCATATTTTCCGAATTTGCAGATATGTCCCTCACGAATTTCCCTCACAGGTAGGTCTCTCGGTTAGCCCTCAGCCAAACAAAATTGAGAATCTGTCCTACCTATAGTGCAGCCTCGACAGAGAGAGGCTACAGGCGACCAGAAAACAGCAAGTCATTGCACATTAGTCCATCCCGACCTTACCCCCACTCACTCACCAAATTTCGAACCGAAGTCGATGGCGCAGCCAAGGACTGTCGAAAGCATCGGAGTAGCAGGAGGCTGGGTGGGGATTCAACAACTTTCGACAGGAGGTGAGGTGCCGAGAAGCATTCTCTGACAACTTGCGGCGGATTTTCTTCCCGTCTCCGACTTCAACAGCCTGTGTGGCGAAGAGAAACTGTCGAAAATCGCATTTTCGACAGTGGTGCGGCGAGGCCCTGTATCATTGAGGGCCTTGCAGCTCCACTCACCAAAATTGAAATGTGAAAGAGACAAAAAAAACAAAAAAATATGGCCGGTGTTCCACGTTCTAGGGGGAGATACAGGGCCTTGCGCCGCTCCGCACCACATGCACAAAAGACAGTAAATATGGTGGCGTATCTTTCCATGTTCTAGTGGAAGATTCATTCTCATTTTGCGCGTTTGGTAAGTAGTGGAGAGGCGCCCACATTCTTGTTCTGCCATGATTTGGTGAGTTGTGCAGCGAGGCCTTCAGCCACATGGACTGGGTTCTTTTCCCCTTGAATTTGTTGCGCACCTCTACAACTTGTTTTGTTTAAGGAAAAACGGTCTGCTTATGCAGAAACCAAATTGCATCATTCTTCCGCCCCCTGCCCCACCCAAAAAAAAAAAAAAAAAAAAAAAAAAAAAAAGGAAAAAAAAAGGCATCATTCCATAGAAGCTCAGATAACCATGTGCTCGAACTGAAAGCAGATCACAACACGAGATACACCAAATAAGAGCAAAGGTCTTGAAATTCCTCTCCTCGCCTCCATCATCAATGTCCACAATGTCGCTCTTCTATATGGCGCTCAGCACCCAGACTACCATACTATCAGACAGCACCAATCGACCTTGACTTCAAATGACCACAACAGGTCTTCATGAAGTACAGCATCCCAATGAGGAATGAAGAGTCCGCCCGTGGCAGCCCACTCATCACCACCAGGTAAGCACCTCCATAAATCACCCACATGCGGTAGCGCTGCTGCCGACCAGCCAGCCAGGATGTTGCAAGTGAGCGAGCCTCACTTGCTTTTGTCCTGTGCTTTTGTCCTGTCTGGATGGATCTGGCAGGGCTCCAGATGCTCGACCGCTGTCCCAGTAGCTGTGCCCAGGGCCCTTCCAGAATGTGCCTGGGGCTCAACTGTAGGTACCCTGGGCCTCAGCATTTTCGAAGGGCCCAGCATCTCCAACCAATCGGCCCTACCGGTCGGTTGAAGATGCTGCATGCAGCAACCAACTCTTGGCCCAGGGCACCAGTCTGCTCATACTGGGCTCGACCTCTGTCCCAGTAGCTTTGCCGAGGGCCTTCCGGAATGTGCCTTGGGCTCAACTGTAAGTACGGTGGGCCTCAGCATTTTGGATGGGCCCAGCATCTCCAACCAATCGGCTCTACTGGTTGGTTGAAGATGCTGCGTGCAGCAACCAATTCTTGTGGCCCCAATCTGCTCCTAACGGCCTCTAAAAGGCCTTGGTAATTTAAGAGAGGGTCGGCATACAGTTACGACTTTGTGCAGACAGTTCCATGCGGGCGCAGGTCCTTTCAATGTTGGCCAAGGTCCCCCTGCTTTGGCCCATTTCCTGCCCACATCGGCCTACACTCAGGCCTAGGCACACATTTGCGGGCCCACCTTCACTTACTAGGCTGGGCGAGGCCTTTTTCCAGCATTTGCGAGGATGTAAAATCCTTGCACTTATCAATGAACACAATACGAATATTACAAATAATTTTTGTACCTTTGTGGAATTCCAGACCCTTCCTCCAAAGACACCTCACTTCTCTCCTTCGTGGATTAATGCGATCGAGAAAAAACAAATGAAAAATAAATAAAAAGAGGACTCAGGAGTCTTAAAGCACCAGTACACCACACATCGGCCCGCGGGGGTCAGCACGAAACCCGCACCACTTCGGAGGCCGCCAATTTTTTTTTTTCAACGGCCCCTCCGAGTTTTGCTTGTGGCAACAAAAACTTTCTGCAAGGCTGGGGCCGTGTACTTGCGGCTTAAGGACGACATACCACCTGTGACCACAGCTATCCCTGTCTAGACGATAGTCACGTGTTCTGCTCAGATGGAGATGCGGCATGTCTCTGATACGTGTTCACGGACGAATCGGGACAGAAATCCGAACCTGCGCGTTAGACTTGCTGTTCCTTTTTTGTCCTTTTCTTTTGTCCTTATGTTCTTAAGGGGTTGGAGGGGGCAGTGTTGCGTGGGGCTAGGAGCGCAAGGAGAGAGTACTCCCTGAGGTGGTTGTATTTGGCATGATAATGCCATGATTTGAATTATTTAAAGTTTTCAAGTTTTGAAGCTTGAGCTGATGTTTTGTTTATCAAAACATTCTCAGTATTTCTTACATGCGTGCAGTCGTACGTCATTCAGCCACATGGAAGATACAGTTTGACATGGTCTCCTGTGTGTGTGTGTGTGTGTGTGTGCGTGTGTGTGTGTGTGTGTGTGTGCGTGTGTGTGTGTGTGTGTGTGTGTGTGTGTGTGTGTGTGNGTGTGTGTGTGTGTGTGTGTGTGTGTGTGTGTGTGTGTGTGTGTGTGTGTGTTCTGATTGGGGAGTACAATGCAGACATTGGCTTGTGCGGGACAAAGCTTGGCTGTGGTGAAGGTGGTTGTGGTGCTTGTACTGTCATGGTGTCTCGCTATGACGATGCCAGCAAGAAGATCATGTATCCGTCGAGCCCATCGATTCATTTCTGTGGCGTTGATGTTCTAAAATCAAGTGTTTTAAACTTGGGGATGCTAGTCCATGAAGAAAAAAGGAAAAGGAAAACGGAACAGTGCTCGTCTGTATGTTGACTGAAAACAAGGTGTGAATGAGAAGGGCTCAATAAGAGAGAGCTGAGTAAGGATTTCCTGTGCTAGGAGGTCTGGGCTGTTTTTTTTTCCCCCCCCCCAATTTCCTTCATTTATTTTTCGATATAGAAGTATATTTATTTTCTTGTGTTTTCTTTGAGATGATTTTGATGACAACCAAGACAGAGTTATTAAAACCTAGAAAACCAAAATCGGTACGGGCAACATTGAACATCCACCGCACAAAGAGTGTGCAAGAAATTTGCGAGTGTGAAATTTTCAAAAACCTGCATCACAGAGAAGATTAGCATGGCCCCTGCGCAAGGATGACACACATAAATTGGTCCAATTGATTTAAAAAAAATAATTTTTTTTGGTGTTGAACCATTCTGTCACTAATCGTTTTATTCTCAATATTGTTGCAACCTCACCATACCCGCCGCCGATGTCGTCTTAAACAACAAAAAAAAGGAAAAGAAGAAGAACGAACGAACGAACGAACGAACGAACGAACTGGTGCTGCCTCTGGCAATGAAGAGAGCAAGGTAATAACTAATAAGTTACTAATAACGAATCCTGGCCTCAATTTTCAGTGTCGGATGATGAACAGTAGTATGGTTGAAAGGGTTTCACCCAGTTAGCGCCACATTGCAGATACCAGGACTTGATCCCCAGACCTTCCCTAGCCCACTGTTGTGTGTGTGTGTGTGTGTGTGTGTGTGTGTGTGACACTGTGTGTGTGTGTGTCACTGTGTGTGTGTGTGTGTGTGTGTGTGAGAGAGAGAGAGAGAGAGAGGAAAGAAGTGAGGGGTGAGGAGTAAGGAAACAGTTGTTCTTCTGTTAGGAGTTCCTTAGCAGAGGTGCTGTTGATGGAAAGGGATCAGACATCAGTCCGTAAATTCATGCCTGGCACCGCTCTACTCCGTGGAAGGAATGCATGTGACAACGGTGGAGGGAGTCGGCAATCGGCGTGATGGACTACACCCTGTCCAGGTAAGGGACGACTTCTTTGGTCTAATATGCATGAGCCCCTTGTCGACAACCACGGACTGGCAGCAGCCATCTTCCCCCTAGCTCAACACACGCTCATCACGAACGTATATACGGTCTCCCGCGGTCCAATTCAGTCACGATGAGGGTGGCTTGTGTTGGGGGGAAGACGGTAGTTCCGTAACCATACTTGGCCAACTTGCCCCGAGTTATAACGACAGACTTTGTATTTCTTTTCTTGTTCTTTCTTTTTCCATCCTCTCTGCAAGAACCCGTGCACTGAGAGCACGCACAATTTTTCCAGAATGCAATTTTTCCCAAAAGCATTTTTTCCAGAAAGCAATATCTCGTAGAAGAACAAGCAGGATTGAGCAGCAGAGTTGACGGCAGAATACCGAAGCCGAATGCACACCGCTTAGGAGGAGCAAACAAAACACTGAAGTCTCTAAATAAAGAAAGCCTGATTTCTTGCCTTCAATCTTTAATGCATTTCTTGCCTTCAATCTTCAATGCATAACAATGTAGTAGTAGCCGGACTGCCTGCGGTGACTGCCCTGCTCGATTTCCTACTACCTCTAC